TCAAAAATCTCCACTTCCCTTGCCTTCTGGCTGGGGCTTTCCCCCGGAGAAGCCGGTTGATCCAGGGACTGGTTCACATGCTGTTGCCTGTGGCAAAAGCTGCACTGAAAAGGAGAAACCAGGGACTAAGTGTCTTGGTTCACTGCTCTTAAATGGTGATACGCCAGAAATAAATTGTAAAGGGTGCCACAGGGTCTCCTGGGACAGGGTGGGTGGGCATGACAGAGCATGTCCCCAGGACACGGGTACCTGGGGGATGCTCTCTGCCTGGCACCCTGGGGACGGAGCACACAGTGGGGGTGGCCGGGTGTGCACTGCCCGGCACCATTGCCCTGCTCTGGGTTCACAGGGTTGCTCTCCTGGGCAGCTCTGTGCTGTTGATCCATCACTGCTTTTTCCCACATCCCCCGCAGAAGTTTGTGCAGCCGGGGGATAGGGATTGACCTTTGAGGCAAAGTGATTATAATTTACACAGGTTGGGTTGTTTTTCTTAAAGAAATGCCCGCCACAGAATCCACTAAAGCTTTTTGCTTTTGCTCTCAAATCCTTGCATCTATTAGGGGAATGCTTGTGTATCTTGCATATACATATATAAATATATGTGGTAAACATCAAAAGAGACCCCATACCTCGCAAACATTTTTGCTGTAACATGGCATAGCAGCAGAATGTCTCCAAGCTCCTGCTCCGGGAGCGGTTGCACCCTGGCTGGGGTCTCAGCCCTTCCCACGCGGCGCAGGAAATCCTGAGCAAACGCCTGACGGGCGAAGCGGGCTGGCCAGGAACGGGCTTCTGCTTCGGCAACGCTGTACCCTAGCAAATGGTCTGCGACAAACTGAGAGCCGATCCTTTTGGCAAAGCCTCTCCCCACTTTGTTAATGGGAATTGGAGTCAATGAAGTTGTGCTGTAATATCCACAGGGCAGGAAAACCCGCCGAATTCAAACGCATTCTCTCTTTCTTGATAGAGTCAGAATTTTGACTTGGATAAATATTGCACAGTTTTGATGTTAATCTGAAGCTTTATCTGAATTATTTGATCTTTCTGAGACTAGAAAAATGGAAGTTGGAAACCTTGAGAGCAGTTTGTAACCTTGGTGCTTCAAAGGCTTGCTGTAAATACAAGGGGAGCAGTGTTCTGCTTTGGTGTTTCGACACTTCAGTTTTTGGGGGGAAGGTGAAAAGCAGAAAAGAATTGTCTAAACGTTTAAAAATTATGGAAATATGTAGTGCAGGCTTGGTTCATTGCATGATAAAAACCTGCTTTGGATTCAGTGTGAGAACAGATGAACTTCTGCCCCAAAATCCCATTTGTCATACATGTGTCACCTGGGGAATCGTACTCACAAACCCCAGTTTGCAAAAGTTAATGAAGATTTCAGTGTCATAATATCATCACAAGGCCTTCTGCTGTCATGTCTTTGCAAAGGTTTTAGCATTAATGAGGTATGAAAGCAGATTAACTACTGATCCCAGGTGTGTGCTGAATTGCCCCCTTAAAGTCACAAGCCCAGATAATCAAGGACCTCGTTTAGTTAAGAGCAGGAATATGCAATTCCAAGTCTACTTCAGAAATATATTTTGACCAATTCAGAAAGCAGCGATGTATTGCACAGGATTAATCTTGGGCTTGACTCTGTAAGAAGAACATTGAATATAAATCTTTTCTTTCCCTCACTCTTCCTAACCAGGAACAGAAGAGCACACGGTTGTGTCTCATGGAGACAAGCAGTTTAGGGTCTGGGCCAGTAAAAGCAGAGCAGGACTTCTGTCCTCGTGGAGGAAAAATGGCAATTCAAAAGAGAATGCAGATGGCAGGCATTGGTTTCTGAAGAACACTGGCAGTTGATTAGTTCTGTACAGAAGAACGTGCTTGGGAAAAGAAGAATCTCTCTGAAGTTCTTTCTCACTGCTGCAATTGGAAAGACTGGGGCAGCTCAGTCTGCATCACTCACTGATACCTTCGTGTATGACTCACGATACAATTTTAAGAGGCTTTTGTAGATTAGGGACTTTTTTTTTTAACTTGCAAAATGTGTTTCACTACTAAATGGCTGCTAAAGTCACACAGTTTAAAAATACACGCCGAGTTCAGTGTTTCATTTCAGAGTTGAGGTTCAGCTTTCTTTTCGGAGCACTGGAGCATCACTGCAGCTGCAGCACTGCATTTTGTGGTGGTCCGTGACTAGCTTGTAGGCCAGGGCACTGGCGTATTGATCCCAAGCCCTGAGGGGTGGTCTCTGAGACCTGGGGTAGTGGTCCTACCAAGCTACATGAACGAAGGAGTCAGCACAAGTCCACTCACCAACGGCTACGTAATGGAAAACCCAGCTGGATGCCAAAGCCTGGTGTAGTACGGTGGGTGGGTTTGCGGTCCGGCCCTTGGGAGGAGACTGCCCTCGGCTTTCAGTCCTGCTGGGAGGAGGTGAGGTGGTTGCTGCCTGGCCCTGTGAGCCGGTGTGTTCGTTGGGGGGGTTACTTCACCTGCATGAACGGGGAGGGAGCCTGCGAAGGAGAGTGCTTGCAGCCCAGAAAGCCAACCGTATCCTGGGCTGCATCAAGAGAAGCGTGGCCAGCAGGCCAAGGGACGGGATTCTGCCCATTTACTCCGG